TTCTCTTAGATCATTATGCCTCTCTCCTCTCTCTTTCTCTCTCACCAGCTCTCCTTTTCTATTTTAGCCGGATAGCTCACCGCATATATATATATATATATATATATAATATATATATATATATAAATAATATAATATAATTCGAACGCCTGCTTTAACCTCTAAGATGGACGTCATCACAGGCAGCTCAGCTCGCGTTGAATACATGAGCAAGTGGTAACGGTGAGCAACGAGGCGTCATATTAACACAGCATCTTATCTCAGGTAGGAATACAAGGCAGCGAGTGTCAGTCACACGCACCCACCACCACAGACATACGCACGCACGGCGCACACGTGCATGTACGGTACACGACACGATACACATACACGTACAGCGTAGCACGCACGCCCGCGTAAACGCGCGCACGGGAGTTGCACACACATACACACACACACACACACACACCACACACTACACACACAAACAGCACACACACATAACACACACACACAAACACACACAATATCAGAACAACACACACACAGCACACAGAACACACACGAAACAGCACACGCAACACACACAGCATCACACCCACACAATCACACACGCAGCACGGCACCTCTCACACACGAAGCTGCACGGCATTTACCTGCAGCACGCATACGTATATTATAATACATGTATATATATTATATAATATATACATAATAATATATATATACTATAGTACATATATAATACATATATATATAGAACTTATTTCAGTATTTATTTATTTAAGGCAAGATAATGTGCAAAGTTATGCAATTGTAGGTTTGAGACCGTTTTGGAATTTTTCCGCTTACACGGCAACGAAGTATGAAGTTGTAGGATTCTCGCGTGCGATGGCATTGGTAAGGTTGCATGCATAGCGTGAATTCTCAGTAAATTCTCAGTGGATTTTCAGTGTGATATCAGTAATTATCGTGTAATATACCGCTTTTTCCATCGTTCGAGCTTTACGTTTACTTCATACAGCAAGACGGGTCGGCCGCACAGTCTGGCTACGGGGTGAGGATCAACTGTCTCTGTCCTCACGCCACGGCGACCAACCTGCTAGGCGAGGCAAAGCTGAACTTCCCAGAGGAAAGCCATGAAGAGGGTGTGTGATTTCCTCAACCCAACCAATCAGGAGTTTTGGATTCCGTTAGTATTGACTTTTCGGGATCAGGTCTAAAGGCCATGAGTGTGTGCGTTGTGGCGCGCGCGGCGTGTGGTTGTAAGTGTTTATGTGTGTGTGTGTGTGTGTGTGTGTTGTGTGTGTGTGTGTGTGTGTGTGTGTGGTGTGTGTTAAGGTTTGTGTTTTGTTTGTGTGGCTGGTGTGTGTGGGTGTGGTGTGTGTGCTGTGTGTGGTGCGGGCGTGCGTGCGTTGCAGTAATCTATACGTGCGTGCAATGTGTGCATGCGTGGTGCGTGCATTGCTGTGAACGTACATTGTGTGGCGTGTACACACTCAACACACATACATACACACAGCACCATAGAACACCACCACCACATACAACTACATACACACCAATCGCAACACACACGACAACACTCACACACACGAACACAAACACACAACACTCACACTCACACACAGCACATCACACAACAGCACACACACACACACACAGAGACTACACAGGAGAGAGAGATAGAGAACACACGACACATCCACACACACAGCACACACACACAGCACACACACACACGTAACACGTATCACAGCACACGCAGCGCACGCACAACACGGCCACGGTGAGCCACACACCCACACACACTGCCACACAGCGACAGGCAACAACACACATCGCACACAATCACACAGATAGAGAGAGAGAGACAGAGACACACACATCACCACACATTACAGCACCGATCACGACACGCACACGCACACAACCCACACGCGCCTGCGTGCGCGACAGGACACACACACACACACACACACAACACAACACTCTCCTGCTCTGCTGCATAGACGTTAGTTCTAAAGAGCTATCTCTCACCGTCGCTGTTGCTATGTATATGAAGAACGTAACTAGCACTGCAACACAGTTTGTAGTTATCTGGTCCAGCTGACTTGATGCTTCCTCCGCTTATTTAGCGAGGGCAATAAGCGAGTGCGTTCGTGGAACAGGAGTTGTCCTCGTTCGCTAAGTTCTCGCGTTAATGCCTCCGTCGGGCTAAACTGAGCGAACGGAAGACTACGATAACTTAGCGGACGTTAGTGAAACGCGCACGCCCCGTCGCCGCCGGCCGCGCCCCGGCTTCGAGCCTGGCAGGCAACGAATCAACTGCTGAATGATAGGATGAACCAAGGGCCGCGTCTCGTCAGGCACCGGGCCCTAGGCGTCGTAGTTCTATCCTACACTGCCACACGTCGCCGCCCGCGTGGCATTTAGCCACGGCACAGCGTCCCTCCGTTGGTTAGAGCCGTAGCCGACTGAGAAATTAGCGCTTAGAAAATAAGTTTTCGTTGCACCCATAGCTGGGTTTAATCATTTTCATCACTAAAGTGTTTATAATATAAACTATAGTTATAACGACTTGTTGTCAGTGTTGCACTCCACGCAGTTTTTTAAATAAACGAATAAATAAAATATGTGTGAACTACTTTACCCGCGACGCGAGAAACGATGCGTATAATAGTCAGCGCGTAAACTGACTCCAGCCAATAGTTGCAGCCGTTTACCACACCCACAACATGTGGCGCAGCGCCCCGACGACGAACAATATCTACTACATATTCATGAGAGTGTGTTTCGAAAAACGGATGAAAATATACTAGCCCTGCACAGCACTTAATAATAAGCGCTCGCCACTGTAGCCAACAAATAAACGCGGCCACTGCAGCAAACATGATTTCCAAGTCAAAACAGGATTCAGCTGGCGATGACTTGATTTACTGCTTACTAAAGATACAGTAGAAAATAAATAGATAGATAGTATAGATAGATATGAATATAATATAGATAGGAGATAGATAGATAGATAGATTAGATAGATATAGATAGGTAATGATAGACGATAGATAAGATAGATAGATAGATAGATAGATAGATAGATATAATAATAAATAGATAGCTAGATAGATAGATACGATAGATAGATAGAAGATAGATTAGATAAAATAGATAGATAAATAATAAATAGATAGATAGATAAATTTAGATAGATATATAGATATGTGACGCTGCGCAAGCGGCTCAGAGCTCATTACTTAGGCCGAGTGACAGCGGAGCGGGCGACATGCTGGCAAGCGATGCAAAATGTGTTGAATAAAGACTGATAGAAATTGGTCACTTAGAGAGCGGAGAGCGGGTACGCGGCACCCGCATCATAAACCGCAGCCCACGCCCGAAGCGTTCAGGCCAGTACGGGAGCCTGGCGAAAACCCAAGAGGTGACGAGATAAATGCCCGATCTCGCACCAAGGATCGCCTTAGTATATAAAAGGATATGCCGGCACGCCAGTGCTACCAGGGAACCTCGGAACTCTCCTCCCGGTGTTCTGCCCTGCCACACGCTAGTACTTGTTGTACGCACCTTGTTGTACGTTTTGTCATTCGCTATGGGCTAACAATACAGTCGCTTGTGGTAACGCTTACGCTATAGTTCGTTTGCTTAGCGTCTTGCCAAACTTAACTACGCTCGTTTACCCCTACCCGCTGCATACTTTGATTAGTAGCAGAGGTTACATTTGGGTGCCGTGAACCAGGGTTTCGAACCTGGGTTATTGGCGGCCACAACGCAAGCATACTCAACACTAATATCGATCACGGCCGGCTTGCGTAGTATAGTTTACCAGGAAAGATATGGAATCTTGGTCGAGTCAGCTACATACCACCGATAAGGCGCGCTGGCGAGTAGGTTGCGCAAGCGTAAACAGTTTGCGACGTTAAATCACCTGTGTATCCACCATAGTCAGTGGTTTACGTCATGCCTGTGCGTCGTTTATCCCGAAACATACCCAGCGACGTAACCCCCGTGTAGCTCATCGTGTTACCATTTTATGGCGCGACCGACTCCTAAAGGCGCAGTACCTGCTGAACGATGTTGGCTGATAACGTCCCCCACCCGTCTCGCTGTCGAAAGTTTGTCAGCTTCACAGCCTAAAGGCGGCAGGTACAGGTACCGAATTTGACATTGTGAATCAGCAGATCGTTTACGTCCTGCATTCAGCATGTAAAAGGCGAGACAAGTATTTTTTTCTCTTCCGTCTTTCTTTCATCAATGAATGCGTCGCCGAGATGCCTCCGTATCTTAGAGACCGTCCGGACCATGGTTTCCCTAAGGAAGCCGCTTATATTTGGGCGATACCTGATGGCTCGGCCCGGCGTCGGAGGCTGGTAGAGGCACGTCAGCTGATACCGAAACAGTACTGTCACACGGGAGATGTGTACAGAAATACGACTTATGAGTGTCGGCATACGATGACTCTAGTGCGAGCGGTTAAAAACATGGCAAACGCATTGCCACTGCCTGACAGCGTACTACGCTTCGACTCACGGACTGGGGTATCACCTCAAATTATATCAAACGCCTATGTCTCGTTGGCTATTAGCTATGCACTGCCTGATGCAGGGTTGATTGTATTTTTAATTGCGGTGTGTGTGTGTGTGTGTGTGTGTGTGTGCGCATGCGTAAACGTCTTACCGTCATCATCACTGTTATCAATATTATTATGTTATTATTAAAATGGATTATTATTGATTGACCAATCGATTTTATTCATTTGTGTTCTCCATCTCTAATTCTCAGAGTATCGAATTTTGGCGCGATTGTGCCTCCGCCTGGTGGAGGATGACAGTTTGAACAGAGCCTGTCTGCTGGTGAGGAACTTTAACAGGTAACAGCTTCACTATCCCGGAGACAGTATTCCCAGCGAGTTCTAAACAACTGTCCAGGATAACGAATTTGTTTCCGGTTATAGACTATGATCTAGGATAACACATTTCTTTCCGTTTCCAGGCAGCAATCAGGTATAACTAATTGCCTTCCCGTTCGACATTACAATCCAGGATAAGTAATTTCTTTCGGTTGTAGACAATTAACCAGGATAACCCATTTTTCCGGTTGTAGGCAGCTATCGAGGATAGTGGATAATTACGTTATTTTCTTTTGATGTCAGACGCTGTGAGCTGTAGATGTAGGATGTAACGAGCGTGTGCGTGCTCGGTGTGAATCTGGCTCGCTCAGCTAGGATGAAATGAAGCCGCTATTACTGATGCTCATAGGGTCTATGCCCCCCAGGGTACTGCCGGAACATACCCTGGTAACTATTCGATATGGTTAGAGTTAGGGTTAAGGTTAGGGTTAGGGTTAGGCTTAGGCTTAGGTAGTAAGCGTAGGCGACTCCCTAGACTCGTTAGTGGAGTAGGCGAGGTACGGTCCGGCATATTAGATAGTACCAGAGTACGTTCCGGTATACCGGACCGTACCCAGGGTACGTTGCGGCAGTACCCTGGGGGACATAGACCCTCTCAGCATTACTGATGATCTGAAGATGCTCATACACATGCTGCCCCCTAGTGAGCTATTTGTGTAAAGCTTGTTTCCATGGATGAATCGCCGACTCTGTTATTCGCTTTATTAGTTTCATGTGTTATTTCATCACACACAGAGCTATGTCGTGATTCTTACTTGTACTACGTTATTCTCACCGGTGTGTTTTCTTTGATTACTAAATAAAATCATGGATTAATCGGTCAATAAGCAAAGCGGTGTTTAGCTGAAGCTGACAAGTTGCACGTCACTGCTATCAAATGCTAGACGTGCCGAGGGTCGCGTTAAGCTTTATACGCACATAGAGTTATGTTATAGTAAGTTTGCATTCTCCAGCCATGTATTTAGTGTGTGGATAAATACACCAAAGTTGTTACAACTATAAACAATATACAATTAGACACAAACAAGGTTGGAGGAGGTAGGTTGAATAGTGGAGGATGGGAGGTAGGTTTTATGCGGGGGGGGGGGCGATAGGTTCAATTGGGAAGGGAAGGGGTAGGTTGAATGGAGGAAGAAAGGAAGTAGGTTGAATTGAAGAAGACAGGAAGTAGGTTGAATGGGAGAGAGAAAGGTGGTAGGTTGAATGGAGAAGGGAATGATGTAGGTTGAATGGGGGTGGGAATGATGCATGACCCTCCACCGATTCCGTGCATGGTAATGACATAGTATATATCATACTGAGGACGCAGTGAAGGCCTTAAGCCAGGTCAAACACGTGCTCACGTGTTATTACTAGTGATAGAGGAGAAGAGCGGGAGAGCGCCACGTTAAAACATCACGCGGGTATGTTTGGGAGAGCAGCGTCTGTAGGGCGGGCCATGCAGTGCGAAGACAGACACATCGTTTATGTTGTAGTGCAGGCAGGCACGAATCAACTGCTGAATGATGGATGACCAGGCGCGCTCTCAGGCACGGGCCCTAGCGCGTAGGTTTCTATCCTACACTCCACACGTCCGCCCCGTGCATTATGCCACGCCACGTCCGTCACGTGTTAGGCCGTAGCCCGACTGCAGAAAATGAGCTTAGAAAATAAGTTTCGTTGCACCCATGCTGGGTTTAAACATTTTCATCACTAAAGTGTTTATAATACTAAACTATAGTTATAACGACTTGTTGTCAGTGTTGCATCCCCGCAGTTTTTTAAATAAACGTAAATAAAATATTTGAACTACTTTACCCGCGGAGAAACGATGCGTATGAATGTCAGCGCGTAAACTGAAATTCCAGTCAATAGGATTGCACCGTTCACACACACCCACAACAATGGCAGCGCCCACGACGAACAATAATCTAATACATATTCATGAAAGTGTGTCCGAAAAACGGAGAAATTGTAACTCGAGTTGCGTATCGTTCCTGGGGTTTGCTTGTTGGCATCGCCGTCAGCTTACCCATACCTTACGTAGGTCGGGGGGAACGGTGGCTAGTACACCACCCCATAGCCTGGGACAAAGCTGGACTTATGCCCATGGCTACCCGCGCAAAGCAAGTGAGAGGTCGGGGAGCGCGGAGAGCAACTTCGTTGCCCCGTCGTCCGGCGTCACCTGTAGCGGAACGTGGTGCTAGACCTCCTGAAGAAACGGCCGCCGTTCCTTTGCCGGTCGTTGGCACCCCCCTTCCTGTTGGAAGCAGGAACGTCAGCTTCCGAGTCAAACGGGGACTGGACATTGGGTATACCTACCTGATTATGGAGCGACCGAATTGAGCCCGGCTCCTCAGCTACCAGCGGACCGGACGCCAACGACACCGGAGTGGAAAGCGATCAGCACACCGGCTCCGCAGCAAAGGGAACGCCTGAAGGTACGCATCTACAACGGCAGAGGGGACGTGCCGCTGGAAGCGTTCCTTGGCCAATTCGATGTCGTCGCTCACCACAATAAGTGGAACCCCAGCGAGAGGGCTGCGCAGTTGGCCGGCGCCCTCGATTATCCGGCGTCGGCAGTATTGTTCGAATGCAGTCCCGGGCCACCGAGGAGTACATCAGGCAAGCGCTACAGGAACGTCTGCAGCCGTTGGGGTCAGAACTGGAGCGCCAACTCCGTTTGGATGAGCGGAGAGAGCATCATGGTGAGACGTGGTTGGAATTCGCCAGGGAGCTCAACATGCTCGTCAGCCGGGCCGAGGTAGGCATAAGCCGTGTGGAATGCAGCCGTCGGGCCCGTTGGCATCTCCTCCGTTACATCACCGAAGGGGCCCAGAAAGTTTACATCATGGGAAACGACGACGGCATAGCGGAAGGCGCAGCACGGGCAGCCGACCAGTATGAATCTATCATGCGCTCGGCCAGGCTATCAGTATCCCGCAGACCGGACGTACGGGTGGTAGTCAGCACCCCGGAGTCCCGAGTGCAGTGTCCAGAGACGCCGACGCAAGGGAGACACTTGCCAGCCGCGGCGAGTGAGAGGACAAAGACCTCCGCAATCTCACACAGCTGGTGCGGGATTTAGTCCGGGAGGAACTCGGGGCTCGACCCCAATCCTCTGGAGTTCCACGGCCGACACCGAGGCGAGATGATGAGGCATCCGGAAGCGGGGAGTGTTTCCGCTGTGGGGCGCATGGCCATTGGGCCCGGGCATCTGTGTAAGAAGTGGCCGGCCATCCGGGTAGTGCAGAGGCCTAGGGGACGAGTGCCTCAAGCCCTCGTTCGACAACGGGTGCAGCCACGAGCCCGAGGCCTTGCCGATAAAACCATCTGTTGCTGGATGACGAAGCGAGTGCAGCAATGGCAAGAGGAGGATCCAACCATCCGGCGGGTCCGCCAGCTGAAGCAGGAGTACGTGGCGTCTCCCAGCACGGGCCAGGCGCGTAGGTTTCTATCACCACACTCCACACGTCCGCCCCGTGCATTATGCCACGGCCACGTCCGTCACGTGTTAGGCCGTAGCCGACTGTAGAAAATGCGCTTAGAAAAATAAGTTTCGTTGCACCCATATGCTGGTTTAAACATTTTCATCACTAAAGTGTTATAATACTAAACTATAGGTTATAACGACTTGTTGTCAGTGTTGCTCCCCGCAGTTTTTTAAATAAACGTAAATAAAATATTTTGAACTACTTCACGCGCGAGAAACGATGCGTATAAATGTCAGCGCGTAAACTGACGTTCCAGCCATAGGATTGCACGCTTTACACACAACCCACAACAATGGCAGCGCCCACGACGAACAATAATCTAATACATATTCATGAGAGTGTGTCCGAAAAACCGGAGAAATATACTAGCGCCTGCACCAGCATTAAATAAGCGCGCCCCTGTAGCAACAAATAAACGGGCCACTGCAGCAACATGATTCAAGTCAAAACAGGATTCAGCTGGCGATGACTTGATTTACTGTTACTAAAGATACAGTAGATAAATAAATAGATAGATAGATAGATAGATAGATAGATA